CGCTGAATTTCTCAGCAATAAGTCCAGGAGTATCACCGGTCAAATGGAATTTTTCATATCAATACTAGATAATGGCTGCAGTCTGTCTCCAATTTCCTTCCTAACGCTTCGAAACCAAATGAGTTATTAAACAAAGTTCGTCATGCCCCCTTATAACACTGAGGATAAAAATGAAGCTACTTGTTAGAAATACCTCTATTGCCCTGCTGCAGCTCCTTTGCCTGAAGAACAAAACATGGAGCAAAGATAACTAACGCAATAACGATGAAGACTCTCTTCATGGTTAAAATTCCAAAAAAACTCAAAAATCATTTTAACCTAATGAGTTTTGTTTTAAACACAGATGTTGTAGTCTGTTCCTTCAACTTGACGTTTGTAATTTATTCGAATGTATCCATAAACGTCAAGTGGTAGCTCACTTTCGATATCGGTCGATCACTCAATCATCTCTGTTTTCTCCAACAACCATTATACCAGTGGTTATTTGGACATCAAAGTTCTAACATCGCTATGAGTCTTATATGATGGCTCAGTCAATTCCAAGCGTACTATAAATATTATCGAGAGCTTCGCTTTTAGCCCTGGCTAAATCTATATTAGCGGCTTTGGAAACTCTTGACAAAGATTAAACAATATATTAGGAAATGCGTTGTCTTTGGAGAACGATCACTGAACGATCTCTTCGTTGGTTGTGCGTCAGTTGAATCAGTTATAGTCATTATAAGGGCAGGGTATTTGCTCCTTAACTTAAAACCTTAAACTTTCCTCTCTGCTAATTTTAACATAACTGTTGCGATCTTCCTTGAATAATTACAGACGACTCTCGGTTTGGCTTTCCTACGAAACTTATACAATCCTCATAATTGCGTCTTTATGACGTTTTGCTATGTGCACCACGTCCTCTTTTCCTGTTCTCGCTTCCGGAGGGGGGGTACTTCCTCATTAAGAGGCCAATGGGGATGTGCCGCTGGATGGAGCCGCATTTTCATGACTGGATTGACTATAATGGGGTAGCATTTTCAATAGAGTTACTAGAACGGGGTCGCACATTTTCGGATTTTTTGGGTTTTTTCAGTTAGGTGATTCAACCAAAGTTAAACATCGCCATGAGGCAATACATCTTTTGACAAAGATTAAACCAGCAATGTGTTGTCTTCTTTATCTAAACAGACATATTTAAGTAAAGTATTTAAAAAAAAAACAATATTAATCTGACAGATTTCCCACAGCCGGCAATGACAAGATGACAAATGCCCGACAAATGACCGGGGGGTATGGGCAGGCTTGGAATTGACTGAGCCATAATAAGTAAACATAAAAAATAAAAGTACAAAGAAAAAATAATAAATGAAACCAAAAAAATAGCGAAGTGAGAGGAAATATAATATTTGTCGATTGTTGAAGTGAAATTTTGATCTTAAATCATGATAAAATCCAAATTGAAATAATATGATCAGCTTGCTTTTTGACGGAGGCCTTAAGGATTTCTACTGAATCATGCTTATTCTGGGCTTCCTAATTATTCACTGTCAAGAGTTATAAATGATAAGATGTTCAATCTACTAACATACCTCTCATTTCAAAAGACTACTTATCGAAACTCAAGTGTGCTTTACTGCATTAGGCACGATATTACACATAGTTGATGTCCACAGGCCTAAATCATTTAGTTAGTTACTAACCAAAGACAACACATTTTTCTGGGTTACTATATTCTTATAGTGTTTTTTGTAATTTTTTTGAGTTTAGGACTATGAAGGAGTTAAGGCGTTCTCCTTTCATGGGTCCTAAATATGAAAATAATGTTTTTTGAAAGTGTAGGACATCATCCCTACACTTGACTTAAGTTCTTCCTTCTTGGGAAATCCCTCGCTTTGTGATGAATTAAAATATCCTTTTTTCTGAAAGTAGGAAAAGTAGGACACCTTGTGATCATTTAGAATCATTATCAGCAGGGGCGTAGCGTGCTTTACGCAAATACGCACGTGCGTACTTGAGAAATTGGTGAGATTTTTTTTAAGGTTTTCTGTTAGAAGTAAAAGCTATTTGTGGCGTCGTGACTTGACTCTGTATTGTGCATATTTTTTCCTGTCTGTCTCGCTGTTATTCAGCATCGTCTTTTAATACACGTAGAATACAACAGTTTGAGTAATGAAATGTGATAAATTCGAAACATTCTTGAATAAATGTTTGCCTTCAGGCGATCCTACAATACATTTAGCATTCATGAAGATCGGAAACTGAAAATCGACCCTGACTGATTATCATTCCTTTTAAGATTTAATTGGAAAGTTTACCTATTCAAAAACTTTTTCACTTTTATAGTTTTCTCTCTCTCTCTCCATAAATGTCGAAAAAGTCTATCAAAGACTACTTTGATGTCGCCCAACTGGAAAGTGTTGACCGGCTGGGAAAGCCTCCATCAAAGGAACAACAGCTTTCGAGAACACAACACTTTACTCTCAAAGCACATGCAGCCATCTTCGTTTTACACATACAATACGGCCCACGCGGAACACCGCTGACCCCTATGATACAACGACAGAATTTTTTCCTATCAACAAAAGTCATGAACCAATCAATCAATCAATCAATTCTATTTAAAGTCATTGCGCGGGATTAAGGTTGCCCTCAGTATCCAAGCCGGGGGCTCATGTATGAAACGCACGACAAAAATAAAGTTAAAAAGTAAAATGAGATTAAAAAAATAATAATTACAATATTAAGAATAACTAAGAATTTACGTACATGAGAGTACTAAAAAGGGAATAAATCTAGTTGAAATTAAAACTTTATGATTGACAGTAACTACAAAAACAGCCATTTCCTAAATTTAAAAGATCAACAGACTCTAAATTTTTATGAAATGAACCTAAGTTGAGTGACTGTTTAACGTAGGTGGGTAGCTTGTTCCACAGGTGAGCGACCTCATAAGTAAAAGAATTATGGTAGTACAGGTTGTTAGAGGAGGGCAGAACAAGATTTCAACCTCTTACGGGAAAGCGCGCGGAATGGACTAAACTCGACTTCCGGTACCCAATTTGCTGCTCTGCCATTGGTCAAGCCAGTTGTTTGGTTTGCGCGCGCAGTCGTCAACAGACGTTCCCGTTCTGTTGCTAAATCAGCCTTATGTGAGGCAGGGTACTCAAAGAAATTAGAAACCAAACCATGCCGACGATAATGCACGTTCGCAGGTGCACGTTTGGCGCGGTACAGTAACAAGAATTTTGCATGAAATTTACTCCAACCGAACAGACGGTAGTATTTTGTTTCAATGACAAACTTTACAAAAAAGGCGCCTTGCCTTGTGCTGGTGAATATTCCTGTACCAGCTCAAAGAAGAACGTTTTAAACTTTGTAAACTTGTAAACGGCCAGTTATGTATTAAACAAAAGCAAAAACGTTATTTTGCACGAAGTTTTTAAAACCATATGGACCCGTGTGCGTACTTGTCAAAAGTAAGCAGCAGCTAGGCAAATGGAGCTAATTTTAATAAATAGAAATACAGAAAATACTAAGTTCAAATAAACTGAAATCGTTTTACGTCGTAAATCAATTTTAGAATCTATTTAATCGTTTTGATAAAATCGATTTAAGCACTATTCAGCTGACTATTTATATAGCCCTCCGTTTAATCAATAATACATGGGTTTGGCCAGGGCTAAGATCGAAGCTCTCGATAAATTTTATAGTTTGCTCAAATAAAATATAAAATCGTATAATGTTAAGTGGCAAAGGCAAAGAGCCACGGTAAAAAAAGACAACAATAGGTCTAATTAGCAAAAAAGCAAGTTTGCACGTGCCGCACGCTTTTTTTGTAGATTTCCGCTTTGCAGTTGTTCTTTGCACGATTGCAACGTGAAACTTCCAGAAACTTCCTAGTTTTAATACACGTTTTATGAAGGAAATAGGGAGCTTAAGCAACAACGACAGCGACGGCTACAAAAACGTCACTTAAAGAGTGAATTCGCACCGCTTCAAACTTTATCGCGCTTATTCCATCTCGTTTACGTCGTCAAGTGTCGGCAAATGTTTTTGGATTTGAATTCTAAAGAACTGTATCAAAGTTCAGGAAAAGAAAAGAAAGTTGTTGTCTTGTGTTCTCGTCCTCGACAAAACGTGAATTCAGGCACTTTCATGTTGTAGTCGGGCAACGACGGCAAAGAAATGTACAAAAGAGCCTGATGCGCGTGCAAAGTTGTTGTTTTGCTAATAAAACCTATTGCTTTTTTGCCCTCTCCTC